AGTCTTGCCGCGAATTTACTGGACCAGCAACAACTTTACATAAAGTAACCACGATTCACACATATAGAAATTCATAGGAATTTACACCGTTACACCGTTACATAAAGACACACCGTATTCACACGTATAGAAATTGGTGAATGACACATTCATGAATGATGTAATTAAGTGATTGCAAAATCCTTGCATTCACACGTACTTCGTTGCACTCACACGTATAGGAATTCATTCAATTTTCTTAAAGAAAGAGCGTATTCACTCATATATGCTTGGTGGATGCCATATTGTATATGAATAATATAATTGGCCACTCCTTTGCTTCACTGCTGGTCGCACTGTACTCATCGCCTTTCCTTTATATTAAACATTGATGTTGAGCACGGCCGGAGACCATTTAAAACGATGGAACCGAGACTTCTGGGTAACGCTTCTTCTTTGGCACCTACAATGGAATGCAACGAGATGTCGCGTCATGTTCTCATTTTAGTTTCCTATCAGCCAAAATTATTCACTTGTTTTCGTTGTTTTGTTTTTACTTTCCCGTATACATACGTATATACGGAGCAATCTTCGTAGTGCAGGGAAATATATGTAATGCTGCGGAAAATCGATTTCGAGATTTCTACGGATATACACGTTTTCGGGTCCCCTGAACCGCAAAAGTGTTTTTTGTTGTTGTTTTTTGTTTTTGTTTTTTGTTTTTTTCGTAACGTCCGTCCGTCGTTCCGGTGTAGTAGAACAAAACTAGCGCGTAAACAATCCGTAGGATACTTTAAAAAGAGAAAAATCGCTGTCGATGTGCCCGAAGTCGAAGCTCTGCAATTTTGAAAAGTGCGCATTAATTTTTGGGGGCACTTTACATGACGCCCCTGCGACATTTTCAAATTTTTCTCAAACTCTACTATAATTTTTTTCTTTAGCTTGTGAGAATAGTTAAACACACTCATAATGGTGGCATAGATCCAATTTTCGGGGTTAACTCTGAATTTGCTAAAATTGCAACAAAAAGTTGTCTTACGACATCTAAAAAATTGAATATAGAGATTTTTCCTTCAAATGAAATTTGTTGTCCATAATTAGTTCTTTCATTAATGTCGTGTCCATTTTTTAAAAAACCTTTAGTAGTTTTCGCGCAATATTCCGTAAAATATTTCCTATTTAAAAATATTACAAAAACATGGTTTTCTCAAAGTTACTCCAATTTTTTTTCTTAACTTTTGGTAGGGATAGTGCTGAAAACACTAAAAGATGGGATAAACTTCATATTGCTCTATTCTTTTGTTGTTGTTTTCAAAAATTACAAATATGTAATTTTTAGACTTGTCTCACGCTTCATTAATATTTACATTAGCAACGATTTGTTCACATTATTATATTTATGAGTACATGTGCTTTAAATAATGTCAGATAAAGTTCCTCGATTACTCAACAATTTTTTATTGAAAATGAGCTCAAAATTCAGCATATTCACATTTTTGTTCAACCTCATCTAAAGGATAGTGCTAATTGCACTGTTTAATATGACAAAATTCATTTTGCTATGTACTGTTGTTTTTTAGAATAATATGAACCAATGGCCGTTAATGTATATATGAACGTGCGAGAAGTCGAGAAAGTTATATATTTGTAATTAAAAAACAAAATAAAGTAATATGACGTTTATTATATACAGTGCAATTAGCACTATTCGTACCTAATGTTTAAAGAAAAAAATTGGAGGCGTTTTTGAGAAAATCTTTTCTTTTGAATTCTTTACAATTGCAAATATTGCTCGAAATATTGCATGAAAACTACCAAAAGTAAAAAAAAAGTGCATGACCTTAATGAAGCAACAAATTATAAACAACAAATATCATTTGAAATACAAATATCTATCTTAAATTTTGTAGTTGTTGGAAGCCGCCCAAACCACTTCAAACTTTTGCACTTTTCAAAAATTTAGAGTTTAAAGTGAAAGTCTCATCTGCTTGTTACAAGGAGTTTAAAGAGAAAATTGTGAGCCGTTATGGAGAAAATTTTGAATGTGTCCCAGGGGCTTCATCTTACGTACCTCAAAATTTTATACAATGTGTTTAAAGATCACAAAGCTAGGATGAAAAAAATTGATGAGGCTTCGACATGACATGTCGTAGTATTGTCTCAATAGGGCTGAATGATTGATCCTCGAGTGTCGTGGGAACATTCTGCTGAGTCTAAATACGGTAGTGTTACAACAGAATTTGAACCGGAAAAATCTGAGAAAAAACTGCATCTAGAAAGAATTAGAATTTATAATAAGCTATTTAGCTGGTGCAGAGAATCCATCACAGATAAAACTTGAGCTAATGACTCTAAATGAAATTTACTCACACGACGCAACAACTTGCGCCGTTGCAGTTGGTTACATCACAAAATATGAGAGAAAAACAGAAGTCAAACTTGCTTTCTTCAACTGAAACTTCTATCCTCTACCCTTGACGCTTGACGCATCTGTCCATCAATAAAACCGCTCCGTCATTTCCAGCTGTACGCCTGCACCATGACGTGGCCAGGAGATATGGCTCAAGGTATCAACTGATGTCACTGCAGTGTTTCTGACCGGGTCTGAACTAGATTCCAGTTCCGACGGTGGCTGGATTTTCGACGCTAGTTTGTCAGCTAAGTTCAATTCAGTCGCTATCTGGAGCAGCCGACTGCTCTGATCGGTAGTTTTCCGTGTTTTTTTTTCGATCAACACATGCAGATGCCAAAGAAGTGCCTTAAAAAACGGGTGCAATATTCCTCTGCCTTGTCCTTCCCCCCCCCCCTTATGCTCATCCCTTGTCTTATCCATCCCGGGAGACCGGTCGAGAGCTTGGAACTTGTCCCGGCTAGGTATCTCGCTGGTAGGAGACACCTGGTTGGGAAAACCCCGCTAGCCAACGGTTGGTGTCGGATCTCGCCAACCGGCACTACACTTACCGGACTAATGACTTAAGCAGTTGACGCACCCGGAATCAATGACAATAAATCAAAATGGTGCCTGCTCGCGTCCGAGAGAACGTGAACTTCGCGACAGAGATCGCGGTCGTGTCTCGCGAAGAAGTTACTGGGCGGGATGCGACGTTTTATATGAGCATCTAAATACCAAGGAGAATCAAATGAAAGATGCTGAAGTGCAACTGAAACTCTTTCTTCTCTTTGAGTGTTTAGAACTTTGCAGTCACAGCATTTGATGCTTGTCCTAGCTGCATTGTCAACAGATGGGGTTGGAGCTGAGTAACAGCTGATTCAAGATGGTTGAACCACTATGCAGACTGACCAAGGATGAACAGCGTGGAGGTATTAGATTTTTATATTAGTGAAGGAGTGATACCGTCAGATAATGAAGACCAAGTCTGGGGGCACCTGTGTCTCACAACGGCAAGTGTACGTGTGGTGCGAGAAATTCAAAGAAAGTACCACTATAGTGCTGCTCCCCGTTCGGGTCAGACTCATCGTGTTGTGAGAGCAGTCTAGAGCCGAAGCAGAACGGCTTATTCAAGAAAATCGGTTCACTTTGGCTTTCTTGCTGCAAATGAGCTCCGGCCTAGTATACCACATAGTTCAAGACGAATTCCGCTACAGGAAAATGTCCGCCAGGTGGATTCCTCGACAACTCACGCACGAATTGAAAGATCGTCTTGTTGATGCAGGTCAAGAGCTGCAGAGTTTTCATGAAGAAAGAGAGGGCAGACTTTTCTAGCTCGTTTTGTCTTCGAGGATGAAAGTTGGATGCACCATTTTCACGTAAGACAAAACGCGCAAGAAAAGAATGGTTACATTCTTTTTCGCCGAAACCAAAGAAATTTTGCAAATGCATTACACGTACGAGACGAGCGCCTTCTGTAGGGTAAGGCATATTGTCTGTATTCTGCAATAATAGTGGCCTTATTCTGAAACCTTAAATGCCTCCAGGTACCACAGTAGCCTATGCCAACTACTCCTACCTTTTCAAGAACTATTGAGACTAGCAATACGTACAAAGCGAAAGGGTGCTAAGTGAGGATGTGATTTGCTTTAACATAATGCCCGTCCGTATTCAGCTCGTGCATCAGTGAAAACAACCCACTACCTACGCTTCAAGTACCTTCCACATCCGCCATCCTCACCATACTTTGCACCGTCAGATTATCACATCTTTGATCCATTAAAAGAGCTCAATCGAAGGCAGAAGTTGAAGAATGATGAAGATGTCCAATCGGCGGTGCATGTGGGACTTCAACGTAAACCAAAAAACGTTTTCTTTCGAGGTATCGAAGCACATCTTTTCTGATGCATTAATGTGGCGGAGACTATATAAAAAAATGTACAAGGAAATACTCTGTCTGCAGTAAAATGGTGCAAAAAAATTAATTGATGATTTGATTTGTATCTCTCTCGTAATTAACATTGATTGACTGAAGTAACTTTCTACCATGTTTCATTGTCGATCATTTTACATTGTAGATACTTTATTTGTAATAGAAAATGTTTCATAATAACAAACAATTTATATTATTTTTTAAATATCCATAAAGTAAACATTATTCAAACTAGAGTAATCAAGGGTGGAAAAATAAAGTAGGCTTGAATTTTCTTCCATAAATATATCAGAAAAAATATTTTTGGATTATCCAATTAAATAGTGAAAATTTTCGTTTTTGTTTTGACCATTCTTTGACATTGAGTTAAATTTCAATTATAAATCAATAAGCACGACCATTATCGAATTACCCCCTCCCTCACCCATATTAATTATTGAGGTTACTAATACAGTTTGAAATTTCCAGGCACATCCACTGCTACTGTCGTTAGTTCCGTTAATGTATAGAATAAATTGAATACAATTCATCCTGTAATGTAGCAATTTTTCTTCCTCAACAGAAGATAACCGGTGCCGACCTACACGTCAGCTCGCGGGGATTTCTCCCTCCATAAATAAGTTGTAAAACATCGGTTTTCGGGCGATATATTATTAATATCAAAGCTTTTGTTTCGAACATCGATAATTTTAGTCTGCGATGCTTTGTCGACGGTGTCGTGTCCCTCCTCGGTGGCTGCGCCCGTCCGCGTCACGGCCTCCCAAAAAACGAGCCCGCCAGGCAGACCTCGCCGGCCTTCGCCCGGTCCCGCGCGCTAATGGTGGAAAAACGCGCTGCTCTCTGACACGCTACGCGCGGCTCTCAAGTCGTCGTCAACACCAGTAATCATCTTCCGGCCGCAGCCACGGGTTCACTTGTTTTCATTTCTCTTGCCGTCGTTAAGCTATTCAACTGTTTTTGCTGGCCCCAAAACATACGCGAATCACTGATTGTCAGAGTTAACGTTCGTATGTAATATTGCCAGCGCGTGGGGAATTATCGATAATTCTAGAAGGATCGTATAAAGGATACTCATGCATTAGTAGTATTTAGGATGACTATTTCGTGAATAAATAACTCAAAACTGTTAAAAGAACGAGAAATAAGACGAAAAAGATACAGAAAATCCTATATTAAGCAAGCACTGTTGGTCTCGTGCAAAAAGATGTCCTTTAGAAGGGAGGCTGCTTAATGGCAGGAATATAATTTTTTAACTCAAAATGATATATTATTTCTAGATATTATATGTTTAGAAAATACGTTTAGTAACATTTTTATTATGTTTTATTTCGACGTTTTTTATATAAACGACTTTTAGAGAATTTCAACTACGATTTTCAATGCAGAAGAAGCCACAGGGAAGGTAAAGGTTAATATGGGAAGAACACAAAACAAAAGGACACCGAGATTCACTAAAAAAGTAAAGGAAACTGCATACTGGAAAAGAGTTGCCTATATCAATTACAAGCAACATGAGTCTACACAATTATATCATGAATATAAAATCATTAGGAACGAAAAAAATTCAAAAGTTAATTAAAATAAAAATTAAAATGTTCGTGAGGAACATGAGAACAGAAACTAATGAATATGTAAGAACTAATACAATACCTATCCAAATATGGGTGGAGTATTGTAAAATTGTTTCCTGACGAAGTTGGAAATGTAATAGACCTTACAGAAACTGGAAAAGGGAACACCACCATAACAGAAGAACAGGTGAAGGAGATAATTAAGATATTGAGAAATGGCAAATCACCTGGGAAGGATGTCAATGAGAAGTATGGCAGAGGAACATTAACTGAAGAAATAACTAATTTAATGTATAAGATCTTTCACCATCGTAAGATACCCAAGTATTGGAAGATTTTACAAAAATTGGATTGGGATCAAAACGATAACATTAGAAAAACAACTGGAGTTAATCCCATTTCCGAATGGATAATATTATGCAGGAGAGAATGACATCAACATATTAACAGAACGATGATAGAATACTAAGGGCATCGAGAGATACTAGACCTGTGGTAACAAGATATCCCGAAAGATCGAGGTGACGATGGCACGAATGTTTTTAAATCTAGCGAATGGAACGTGTCCATGGCCCACTAAGAAGTAGATGATTTTCATTGCATTTAAATACATTTATATCTCCCTCCTTTGGGTGAAAATAAACGTGTAATTAATTATTTACAATTATAACAATTGTAATTGTTTCAGTTGTCTATAGGTACCTCCATATCCTTGCGTAGAGTCAAAATGTCATTTGGGTATTCACGAACCATTTTATGTATGAGGGGCCCCAAACCGCGCTTTTCACTCACTTTTTTCGCTCAATTAAAATCCATTGTTGCAATAATAGCACTTACTCTCTCGAATTATTTCTAACTTTTGTCTTCACGAATACTGCAATAACGTAGGACAGTATAGGGGAGAACGGAGCACAATGGACCATGAGTCACGAAATGTTTGCTGATATCCAGGGTAGTAAGGTTGGCTAAACTGATCATTATTAAATGTTACATTATGGGCATATTAACTACCCTGGTGGCAATGAGTGAACACATACTTGCAACATGGAACAGGTGAAGATGGGGCACAATGGGTCACATGCTGCAACGCTTTTTCACATGTTTACCAGATGTGATTTGAACATACAAGAGAAAAACTATTAAAGGGATACACGACGAAACACAATTGAAGAAAGCAATTAATTTTGTTGCAGAATGTAGAAGTGTAAGAAGTGCAGCTGATTAATGTGGTGTCAAGAGGGAAACATTAAGGCGAAAGGAAAAACCCACTTTCTGTTGCATAAGTTGAACTCAAATCAAACTACAGTCATAAGCAAGTGTTTACTTATGTCCACGAAGAAGTTATTTCTGGCTGCAAAATGTTCTACGGTTTGTAATAAAACAAATGCTGCAAAATGTTAAATGCCTAGGTTCGTGGTTAGAAAAATAAATGGCTGGATAATAATAGCTAGTAGAAATTTTCAAAATAAATGAATATTTGTCCCTAAGATCTCCAAAGAAATTTAGTTTTACTCATGACACAGAATTTAATCAGAAACATATGCAGGGTTTTTTTCAAAAAATAATTGTTTATCGTTAAAGTGAGAACCGAGATAATGTGATCCTCCGTGCGTCTTCAACTTAAAATTTAACCTCTTTTAAAAGAGGGCTATTGAGTTTTTGAAAACTTCATATGACGTTATTTCAAGTACTTCCAGTCACAACTGTAATAGTGTTTACAAATTGCTGGAAATGTGCCTATTAACGGCGCGATAGATCTTTCAAAAAATTACATATTTGTAATTTTTGAAAAAACAACAACATAAGAGTTCAATGTGGAGCCAGATGAACAGGGATTTCTTCAATGTGGGAAAAAATCCTACATATGGTTTAGACGCTAGTGGTGTTCACAGGCGGACAGACAGACGGGCGGACAGACGAATGTTTTGAAAAGAACCACTTTTTTGGTATAGCTGACCCCAAAACGTGTATTTCCGTTGAAATCTCGAAATCTTATTTTCCGCAGTATAACATAACTTTTCTTATACTACGTATATTACTCCGTATATACGTACGTATACAGGAAAGTAAAAAGGGTAGTTATTCTCGAATAGTTATGTCCCATTGTACCCCAGACACTGACACATGGTACGCCAAGTGTAAAGCACATGGGTCATTTACTGAAAACTGTTTTTTTTAAATTTTTTCTCAAACTTTAATTATTTTGTTACTATAAACACACACTGTTAAAATATACATATGTCTTTAGTTGCACAAATAAAATGAAAGGAATCATCTCTAATATAAAAGATGCCTGAGAATTTCAATTTTTGTGGCTCAGGTTGCCCGAGCTTTCCCTACACTATACAATTCATTACGTACGAAAAAATTAAATCAGCTTTTGTTCCATAAATAAACACTAAAAGACAAAATGCTTAAGCGAAAAGCGTATTTCCTTCGAAGTCTACTTCCAGCACAGATCTGGGGAACGTTTTTCGAGCAGGTGCGTCCCCCGGTACGCCTTGATGTGGTTCTTATTTTCTCCGTCATCTTTTATTTCTCCCTCTTGCAGATGCCTAACTCAGTTGAATATTTGAATATATTCGATCTAACGGGTGAGAGAACATGAGATATCGTGAGAGTAGCGCATAGCCACAGGGAATTAATTTTGCCAGGCTCCTTTATACGCCACAAGTACCACACGGTCCAATGTGAGATTTTTCACTCAGCCTCTTTTCACACCTCGCCGGGTTCTACACCGCGCACTTCTCGCTGAGAGACCAGTTAGCTAATCACACGTCCAGCGATGGTGTAAGCAGTGTTGCACTTGTTGTGTGAATTCAAATTGTTCGCGCATGATGGGAATAGGTGATTTAACAAATTCAAATATTTGCATTCTTCTGTCAAAATCGGAATTGTTTCTTTTTTCCTATTTTACCAAGTTCCTAGTCATTTAAAGAAACCATACGCAACTCTCACATGGTGAAAAGCTGCATAACTGACTTTCAATTTCTGTACGCATTGGAAATTAGAAGTATAGATCATTGTAATGTGTTAGGTCGAAATTATTCATATGTAAATTCCAGAAACAGAGTACGCATAATTTTCAGCGGTTCACCAATGTCCTCGTAGGTGCAGTGACACGATTAAATTCGAGTATTTTTCTTTTAGATATCTATTATTTCTGCAGGTAGGTTCATGCAACCTGGTGGAAAAACACTTCAGTTTACAGACATTACAATAAGGAATATTAATTCAATTTAAGGTTAATTGTTTAAATAATAATAATAATAACAATAATATCAACGATAATAAAAAAGATAAAAATAATATTAGCACTATCTATAGATATTACGTTTTATGGCTATCCTGTACAGATATGTTTAATAAATACGTGACTTATTATCTTTACTTCACAATATTTCCACTTTACTTCTCTTTCTACTTCTTTATTGCACTGCACTCCACAACACACCAACAAACTTCGATACAAATACTACCTTAAGTATTAATATGGTATTGTGTGTTTAGTAAATCAATGCATTTAATAGTAATAATAACAATAATAATGACAATAATAAAATAATAACTTTTTTAATAATACTAACTTACTAATTAATAAAGTTTAAAAATAGCATTAGTTAATTTACAATAAATTCTTTGAATACCCAGAGGAAAGGGTTCCAAGACTGTCGTAGGCAACTTATTCCAGTCTGTCAGTGTTCTATTTGTAAAGAAAATTTTCCATCTGTTCCCTGTGGCCTAAACTGAATTTTGTACTTGTGATCCCATCTACTTAAGTGAATGGCGTACCGAGTCGGGTGTTAATATCTTTCCAAGCTGGATAACCGGCATACGTTTTGTACATGGCACAGAGTCTTTCCTTAACCCTCCTGACTTCTAGACACTCGTATTCCTCTTTATTCAATTGCTTCGGCAAGAGCGTTTACATGCTCTTCTCTGTATTCTATTTAAATTTTCCTTTTGTAAATTTCTATAAGGGGTCCAATTCTGAATTCTTTCGGAATATCACAGAGGGATCTGACTCAGAAATGTTCCCATCAATGTGTCTTTTGGAGAGGAACAGAATGAGCTAATAGTCATCTCTGTAGGTGACGTAAGTCGTTCAAAACTTGTTGTAGTTGCTTAAAAAATGAAAAAAACACGTTACGTAGAGAAATTTCTTAGTATCTTCTGGATGTACTCGTAAAAAATGATTAGGCCCCCACCATGAGACAGAGGCGCATCAACCGTGAGTGACAGAGATGGGTGGACAAACGGATGGGCTGGGATTACTCAATTACTATAGTATGGTGTTGAGTTACATTTAGTTCTATTAAGTCAATCTTTAATGATTTCACCAAGCATTTTGTCTTCTATGACACGTAATGGACTCTGGCAGATATTTGAAGGTTAAGCTGAGAAGGAAACGTTGCATCTGAAATACACCTTTTGGAAGATGAAACCTTGGCCTTTGTTCAGTAATGTCTGTCGCAGGTGAAGCTTGGAGACACGCACAGTGCGTCGTGCACGCAACACAAGATATTGACTAGTAGATGAATATCACATGCCAAACAAACTAGCGTAAGTTCCCACTCACTCACTACACTTGGCCAAATACTTTAGGTCATTGATTTTCTTGATACTGATGGGAAATGTTCCAGATGGTCTTGCAAGCACAGTAGGGAGGTCTGGAACACTACTATATTTTTTCAGTGTGAACGTTGAGAAGATTAAACCGCCGATAAAGTGATTAGCAACCACTTTTCCTTGATCAGCATTGTGGTAATAAAAATCTTTATCTGTGAATACTTTAAAATTTATCATGTCTTCTTTTTGAATTCCATAAGTTTGATGTGAGTTTACAAACCTTTTGTGAAACTGGGGCCACCAAGTATTAAAACTGTTTATCATCTCACTTGTTACTTGGTGAACAGTCAAGCGCCCTGTTTTACTTGATTTACGAATCATTTCAGCATATTGATTTGGTGTGAAAACTACATCTCCTCTTCGAAGAAAACGTTTAATACACCTCAAAATCACGATCACGGGGTATAAATGAGTGTCGACTGACTAGGAAGTAAAGACGAACAGATTCGAAATTCCTCTATTACAAAGATTCATTAGGAATCGCACAATACAATAATTTTTATTTTGCCCTGAAGGTACATCACTTAAAAGAATAAGATGCTTAGTTCGACTAGGAATGTCCGTTTGAAATTGTGCAATAACGGCGGCAAATCGTTCCTTCTGGACTCCTTTGCTAATGACTGCGGACACCATCTGATGGTCAAATAATTGCAACCCCTGTGCACAGACGCTGCATGCCACGACGCAGTGCTTCGCACGAACATACACGAACTTGTCGGGGCTTGCGATCCACGTACACGCGCTGGGTCGTACAACGCTGACGCGTCGTGCATCTGCCGCCGGATGTGCGCACGTGCACGGGCCCTCGGCGCCGGCGGCCTTGGCCACGCCAAACGCCAGTCACGCACGCACCTGCTTGCGCCCAGTGGGGTGCGCGGGGTGGCCCTCGTGGAGGGAGGCAGGGCCCGGGAGAGGCGGAGGGGTGCATAATACTAGACTGCGATTTATCCCACTCTGCCCCTATCAGCAGGTATCAGCTGTTGACAGTTTCATCCAATCGGGAGCTTGATCGTCGCCATAGTGGCGTCACTATCGTGACGTCAGGGAAGAGTTGGATAAATCGCACTATGGTGGTTCCCTCCGCCTCACCCGGGCTCTGCGCGCCGCCAGGAGGGCCACCTCGATTGCCCTTGTCTCTCATGTGTGTGTTGTCACGGAGCACCTCGCGTTCTCCTCAGTCGGATTCAGAGGAGCCTGCTGTTTTTATTTATTTATTTATTTAATGTCATTATTTACCTCAAAAACAGTTAAAAAGGGGTAAAGGGAAACCGGCTGTCGGCTGCAAAAAGCTCTAGGACAAAAAACATTTGTTATTGTATTGTATATTATTTTTAGTGTATAAATGATACTGAATAATGTTATTTTTTTTAAATAATTACATAATTTTCACATAAATTAATTTTGTTTTGCCAAATAAAGGAAGGTAGCAAACGAAAACTCTATATTTTTAGGTGTTACCCATGCCCCCCTACTCACTGTGGTGGTGCTACCATATCACATACTTTCTCTCAATATTGGTAACTTTTGCAATTTTCAAATATGCAGAGAGATCAAGGAAAATAACATTTGCAACGTGTTTATACGCGTACTACACGACATCGAAGAAAAAATTAGAGCCAGTTTTGAGGAAGTTTTGTTTTTAAAAATCCCTTAATTCTCGTACACATACCCGAAAATTGCTCCTAATGAAATATGTTCGCTGAATAATAATTCGCCAAAAAATTTGCCATTTTTTAAGGTTCAGAGAATACAACAAAACTCGAGTCTCTGCCATTTTTATAACTACTTTTCTCGGCCCGAGAAGCAATTAAAGAAACCATTGTAATTTTTAAAAAATATTTGAAAATGAGGCTTTATATTAAGTACTCCCAAAAATCAGAATATCCGTACTGAATTCAAAGGACCGAGACGTCAACCAGATAGATGGTAAATATCAAATTTTGTGAAAAGTCTGCCTACAGTTTAGCTTTTATCGTTGTTCAGAGACGGACTTGTTTTCTATAAACGAATTTTTCTGTATCACAAAATGTATATTCTGACATCCTAACCAATTAGGGGAATTAATTTACTATACAAAAGGGTAATTTTTCTGTTGAAAATTTGCCGTTTTCGCTGCAGAATTACAATACTTACTCTTTGTACGCATGTAGTTTACGAAAAAGTAATAGTGGATAAACCTTGCTTGTTTATATAGTAAATTACTTCCTCTACCATTTGTGTAGTCACAATTCACATTTTATAGATTCTTAAAATTAAAAAATTGGTTTACAGCAAAATAATTTAAAAATATTTTTCAAAAATGACTCCAAAGTTATTGATACATTTTTCCTCGGATGGAACTTGGACGCTTATTTTGCAGTAGACACGCGAATTCTAGTATTACCTGCGGGGTATAGCTGCAGCAATCAAAACGTTGAAAGTCAGTGATCATAAATTATGTATATACTTCGGCTATAGTCCGAAATATGGCTGGTCCACTGCTGCATTACCGTACATATTTTTCAATCTTTCCTGAATGAAAATGGACATTTCACGTTCTGCATCCAAAACTTCAATCACACAACGCTGACTCTTACGAACATCAATGTCGGTCATTTAGCAAATGACTGCTGTGCTGCTACATGTTGACTTCTGCAGGACTTACTTCTGCAGTGGATTGTGGAAAGTTTGAGGAATAGTGCCCAATTCAAACTTTTTACCTAACTAATTTTATATAAGTAGAAACAAAATAGTAGACATTATTTTTTGACTGACCTTCATATATTATGAAGCTACTTTGGAGGCTTTCAGTATCACAAATTACATCCGTAAGAAGGTCTGTCAAACTTTTTTTGATAAATGAAGGGATTTTTAACTAGCACAAATGCAATTACCTTTTTACACCTGAGAAAGCAATTTCACGTGCCGGTAGGTTGCATGAGAAGCGACTTAGACCCTAACAGATTGTAGTTACTTGATTCGGCGAACTGCATCCTGCACTGCCTTGACGTCATTAGTAGCCTTGAAGGAACCAAATCGAGCACCCAGCATCTAGTCACGATGGTCAATACAACAGAGCTATCGTTTAAAATGAAATATGTACAGCTGTTACAATCTTTCATTACAATCGGTGTATTAAACATGATTTATTTAAACTTCCCTGTATGTATCCAAAAAGGAAAACAATGACTCACCGAGATGTAACATTCATTTTAGAACAATGTTTCGGATTTTTTACAGGCATTGACACCGTGAGTGAGAAGTACTCCATCTATATTTCCAAAAATATAAACAGCTTTCAAATTATGTAAATACGAGTCTCATAAAACATTCATTCAGGCTGTATAAATGAACTTAAAGCAGAGCAATGCTAATAAACAGTGGGGAAGTAAATATTGTCTATTTAAGTATTTTGTTTACAATTTATGAAACTCTTCATGAATATGCTTTACGTCTATGAATGAATCAGCCGAATTAAATATTTGCAAATTAATATTTGGGGAATTTTATTCAAAATTTGAGATTACAGAAAAGTGAATAGTAATACACTGTTCAAATATACATATTGAATAAATTATAATGTTTTAATAATTTGGATCAGAAATAATTTTCAAAAAAAGCATTGTTGCGGTGGAAATAGAATTCTTCTCCGAACAGTAGCTGAATTCGACCCTAGTGTCGAAAATTGGCCATCGACGGCACTATTATTCTAGGACCATTCGGACAGAGACGCGCGAGAGAACGACAACTGAGCTAACTCAGCTGGTACGTGCACATGGCGTCTAAAACTTATGACAACAATTTGTCTGCATTACTGGATTATTCATTACCTCCTCCAGTATTTGGCAAGAGCACTTTTTTTATCATCCTAGAAGAAACCATTCTTGTCGTAACTAAAGGAAGCATTGAAAATATCTTCCTATACCTTTTCATAAAATTACATCGGCAATACCTCTAGAGAAGTTAGAATTAAAATCTGTAGCTCTGTATAAGAGCTAGGGTATGCTTTCTGAGGTCAAGTAAATGTTTACATGCACTTTTCCTCCATGTGTCACACACAGTTTTCAATTGGTTTTTAATGTTAATCAAATAAATAGTAATTTATTATCCAGTACAAAAAGGAGATTCTTTGTCAACTAGTGAAAGGTATTACCTAACAAGGGACGTTAGGGGCGGAAAAGGCATCCTTCTCGAGTAGTTAATGAATCTTTATTGTCGTGTGTAATATTTTTATTTCATTTAATTTCAATTTTTTGTATAATTTAAAATACAAATTATCTAAGATTGGGACAGAAATTTTGCTGCGCCACCGCTGGGAGCGCATGCACCAAGCTCGGATTAGAGTCCATTCTCCCTGTATCTAGTATACAGATATTGCGCATTCCATTGTTCCACCGATCCCGCCATTTTATATCCAGGTGCCAGAAGAATTGGAACTGTATGGTATTCTGTGTGTTGGAAACCATCAATGTATCCCAAACCAATATTAGTATTCTTGAAGATCTCCTTAATGTCATCAATTTTTATCATTTCTGTTCAACTTACGAATTCTGCTTGATGGAGCTATCTGGAGAGAGGATATTAAATGGCGGCGGCTGCGCTACTTTTTGTATCTAGGAGCTCTAGCTCGGAACGCTCAGAAGAGTAGATATACAAATACCACTTACGTGATCAACATAAACAGCATATTTAACCAATACGAAGCGTCTTTAATCCTTTAAATAAAATAAACAAATAAATCCATGTCACTCGCAGTATGACGAAAGTGAGGGTGCGCCCTTGTTGCAGCTCTGGGCATCGTGAAGCCGTGCCGGCGCGCAGACCCGAACCTCGGCAGCTGCGTGCGCGACGCCTTCAACACGTTCATACATCAGCAGTTCGCAGGTGAGTGCAAGTGACGCGGCTGTTCCACCTGCGAGAACCCTGAGTCTCATCTTTATCTGTATTCTCTCACGCTCGGAAGTTTTCACATATACAGCTTCCATGCAGTGACGTCCACAAGAGGAGAAGGTGAGGCAACATGCCCCAGGTCCCTACTTAATTCGGGTCTCAGAGTTTTTTTAGTCGAAAAGTATAAAAACGTATTTTCTTCTCATTGAAAGTAACCGCTAAAAGGTATTTCCGTTTTACGGATCGGGGAGAGAGACGTTTGGTTTGAAATTGGGGGCCCCCGCGTGCGTTTACATCTCTGGTCTCTTGACTCGGAGCGCCACTGATTCCACGCCATTCAGTTTACAGACGTTTTTGGATTGGATTGGTTATTAACTGTTGTCTCCTGCCGATCTGCTTCTGCTCTGCCACTATATCATACTTTCTTGAGTAGTCATGTTCGTCGCAAGTCCCACCAGTCTCTTTTCCTCAATTTTTTCTCAAGCAGAAAACAAATTTAAATAAGAGATTCATATCTTGGAATAGATTCAGTATTTGAAACGTACTCTATCTCGCCGCCAATTATATTTGCCATCAAAATCCGAACTTGTAGCATAACATAAATTTCCCGTTCTTAAACGTTTTATGTGCTTATCGATTTGTGTACAAAATACTATATTCAAAACCCCACAACTGACATTAAGTAATTTTACATAAAACATAAAACTAATGTTTTGAATCTGGAGGATTCAACATCAGTATTTTAATATTATATCAAATTTAAAGTTAAAACTTGAAAACATAGTTCTATTTTGTTTCTTTACCACCCAATATGAAATATAGAAAACGTCGAAGATTGTTAATGCTCAATAAAAATGTTTTACATAACACTTTAATATAATTGAGTCATAGGATTAGGCGGGCACTGATGACAGAAGACATGTGTTAACAATATGCATATATACAAGAGACAGTGCTATCGCGTACAAGAGGTATAAAAAGGCAGTGCTTTGGCAGACCTTTCATTTGTACTCAAGTGATTCATGTAAAAAGGTTTTTGGCGTGATTATGGTCCAATGACGGGAATTAACAGTCTTTGAACGCAGAATGGTAGTTGAAGCTACACGAATGGGACACTCCATTTCGGAAATCGTTTGTGAATTCCATATTCCGACATCCTCAGTAACTAGAGTGTGGCGGGAATACATAATTTCGGGCATAACCTCTCACCATGGACAACGCAGTGACCGACGGCCTTCACTCAATGAATGAGAGCAGCGGCGTTTGCGTAGAGTTTTCAGTACTAATAGACAAGCAACACTGCGTGAAATAACTGCAGAAATCAGTGTGGGACAAACGACGAACGTATCCGTTAGGACAATGCGACGAAGTTTGGATTTAGTTGGGTTATGGGAGCAGAAGACCGCCTCGAGTGCGTTTGCTAAGTACGGCATCGCCTGCGGCGCCTCTCCTGGGCTAGTGGAAACATCATATGGACCCTAGATGACTCGAAAACCGTGGCTAGGTCAAATAAACCCCAATTTCAGATGGTAAGTTCGAACATGGCGTAGACCCCACGAAGATATAGGTCCAAGTTATCAACAAGTCATTGTGCAATCTGATGGTGGCTCCATAATGATGTGGGCTGCTTTTCCAAGGAATGAACTAGTACTTCTGCTCCAACTGAAGCAATCATTGACTGGAAATTGTTATGTTCAGCTACTTGGAGGCCATTTGCAGCCATTCATGGATTTGAGGTTTCCAAACAATGATGGATATTTTAAGGATGGAAATGCGCATTGTCACCGGACCCCAATTGTTCGCTATGAGTGTGAGGAACATTCTGGACAATTTCGAGCGAATGATTTGGCCACCCAGTCTTCCCGACAGAAATTCCATCGAACATTTATGAAACATAATCGACAAGTAAATTTGAGTACAAAATCCGGCATATGCCACACTTTCACTATTATGGACGGCTACAGAGGCAGCATGGCTAAATATTTCTGCAGGAGGCATCTGACGACTTGTTGAATCCCTTCCAAGTCGGGTTGCCGCCCTTCACCGGTCAAAGGGAGGTTCGACGCGTTATTAGGAGGTATGCCATGATTTTTTTCACATCAGAGTATGAGACCATTAAAAACAACAATTATACTTTTTGAAAAAACAGATCACAAATACTTACATATAACGGAGTTATTAGAAATTACATTTATGAAGAAAAGTACTGATAAACAATTGGAGGCGCAGTGCGTTGCGTAAATCGTACGCGCTGCCACGTCGTACGGGTATTACTCGCGCAACTTTTCTTGAACGATGACCTTGATCCCCCTCCCTTGTGCAATAAACAGTTGAAGGCAAAAGCTCGCAGCGGGCACTGATGACAACCTTCCAAGCATTAAAACTTCGTTGGCGCGAAACAGAAGCTAGTCAAAGCCAGTTGCTTTTATAGTGAAGAACCCCTGTTCACATTTTTTGTCAATATTGAAAGAAATGGCTGAGTCAGGTCCAGGTCCTTCAAGGGAGTCACCTAAAACTCCCGAAAAAGTCAAAACTGCATCTTGTGCTTAACTTTCATTTCACAGACTTAGGCATTACTTAAAATACTCTAGTGGCCGACTTTGTTACTAATACCCCCACTCCACCCGAAATCGTTAATCCATCGTTCAAGAAAAGTTGCCCGAGTAATACTAGACCTCGGAATGCTGCTATCAATTTACATTTGAGCAAACAATCGCTTAATTTATATTTTACTACAAAATTGAAATTTGATATAATATTAAAATACTGTTTCTGATGTTGAATTCTGCAGATTCAAAACATTAGTTTTATGTTTCATGTAAAATTACTTAATGTCAGTTGTGGGGTTTTGAATATAGTATTTTGTACACAAATCGATTAGCACATAAAACGTTTAAGAACGGGACATTTATGTTATGCTTTAAGTTCGGATTTTGATGGCAAATATAATTGGCGGTGAGAAAGATTACGTTTCAAATACTGAATCTATTCCAAGATATGAATCTCTTATTTAAATTTGTTTTCTGTTTTCAGAAAAAAACCGGCAAATCATTAAAGTTGTTGTAAAACAAGAAAAACTGAATAATAAATTTCAAAGAGAACTTTTCTTTGTTTTGTTTTAATTTCTGATGCATAAACCTTGATTCAGGATGCTACGCTGACATATAATAATTTACTTATATGAAGAGTACAATAGTCAGTGGACGTATTGAAAAGTCTGTGACTCACGAGATTTCAAAATCGAATCAGGATTTCTTTACCTAAACATGTAAATACAATACAATGTAAATATATTGTAAATACACATTGCTGGTTGAATTTGTAATTTGACACATTATTACAATATTATGTAAAATTACAATGTGTATCAACATCAGACATTATTCATATGATAGAAACGGTTGCTTGAAATACGTGTTTCTATGATAGTACACAGGAATATTTCCGTATATTCCTTTTCATCAATCTCAATCTCTCTGTCAGTGTAATCTGTTATACATGCTGTACACATACATTCATACACAGTAATATATACTCCGCAAGTCAACGATTTACAGAGTTTCAAAACCAAACCAAAATTTCTCCGTGTCCTCACGGCTATTCTGTTCATTTGATTTACGTGATTTACATATGGAACAATGCTGCTATTCTACAGTTTCTATTTTCTCACAAAAATCAAAAATTTGAAAGAGAGTGACTTACGGGGTTTTAAAAATTAGCGGGGTTTTAAAAAAACTGATATATTGTGCTTACGCGCAGTCACTGATGCATGAACACATTTGTATTCGGTTTGAATGTCATTACTCGAGGTAACACATTTCAAAAGAAGTTGTAAAGTGGTTTTTAATGGTCATCCGGAAAACAAGTTAAATTAACACCTTAGAGTTTCTTGCTGAGTTGTGTTTCTCAATTGTGAAGTAAAAATGTTGACACCGTGCAAAAATAAAACAATATTATGTGGCATCAAATGAACTTTTGAGTTCATTGCGTGATAACAATGACCTCCAACAACCTCACCTTTTGAACACTCAAATCATTAAAAGTGTAAAATCATAAACATGTGAACAGGGTGAATGAATCTCATTGTTTCAATTTTGAAGTGATGAACTAATTAGCATACCTGAAGAGTTCACAAGTGTTTTTTCAACCCGTAGCAACGTATTCACCATCTTTACCTTGCTACATACAGAATACTATGTGAACAGAAAGTTATGTAATGCTGCAGCAAAGAAACGACAATTTTTTTGGAAGAACATTCCTATTATATGTCCCTAATAACGAAAAAAGTCAGGAATTTGTAGTCTAAATTCTGAAAATCGGGAGTCTGGAGTCTGAAAATTGAACAAGATATCCCTGACATTTGTGCTGCCCTTGAACTTATTTATGGCGCTCATACATGGTCATAACCGAGCAACAAAAGAAAGTATTACAAGGAACTCAAAAAAAATGGAAAGAAAATACTGAGAATATCGCTAAAAGATAAATTAACACACTTGGAAATCAAATGCAGTAAACGTCTAAATATTGAATTAGAGATGGGCGGGGCATCTAGTAAGGCGCTAGGCTCACATTACAACGATCTGGGATCCGAGGATCGGCAAACGGCAGGCAGGAAGACCTGGAACAAGATGGGCTGACGAAATGAAAAAAGTCTGCGGATCCAAATTGCACGAAGCCGAGAAGAACGTAAGAATTACGAACCAACAAAAGACCACCAATATGAACTTAAAATTGTGTGAAAATGTGTGAGAAAACCTTTAATCTAATAGCCCCACAATCATGTAGCTCAATTGTGGGTCTTCAAATTAATGAGATATCCCCTATATCATGGAAAGGCGTTTGCTCTGCATGGGATTCTACTGGCTTTATAATTATGTATTATTAATATACCGAAACATTGGATAATTCTTGTTCTTAAAGTAAATTACTTCCTCCAACACATTGTGTAGTCAGAATCCAAGTCTTATGAGTCCCTCGGCTGAGCCGGTTCTCTTTGATTCTGTTTTATCTGCTGCTGAGATGGTCCATTTTGACACCGCTGCTCGGTTAGGACAGGACCAAACTTTTATTGAGTTCTCGACTGCTATGACGCCCGGAGACGTAACTACTGAAACTTGTCTTAACAGAGCCACACTAGAAGCCAAGCCTATCTGGAAGGAAAATATTTCAACTTCGATAGGCACCTGGGGCACTTCTAAAACTAATGTAGATCAAGAGCTCGTTGAGGTGGGAAATGAACTCAAAAATACTTTATCTCAGGACCAATTGAACGAGACCTATGCCAAGTTAGTGGATATCTTGGGCGGCTCCTCTGTACCCACCACCATCAGTTCTAAAAAGCCCAGTAGACATGGAGGCAAACGCGCTAGGAAGCGCTACTCTTATGCTAGGGCACAGGACCTTTTCAAGAATGATCCAGCGCTTTTGGCAAAGTGCATTAGAACGGACATTAACTGTAGTAGTGTCGATAAACAGTCACTTAACAGGGATGAGGTTAATGACCTGTATAAATCCATCTGGGGTAACACCTTTTCCAATCGGCTTTCCGAATTAAGAGAGGGTGATTAATTGTTGACACCTGAAATGGACTCAGACACAATTCTATGCGCGGTGCAAGTTGCCGAAATTAAAAGTCGTCTGGCTGGGATGAAAAATGCCACGGCTCTAGAACCTGATAAGATAAAAGTTAGCCACATATCCTCAGGAGCCAAAATTGAAATACTCTACCCATTGTACAGCCAAATTTTATACAGTGGCTTTGTACCTTCTGGGTGGAAAACTAATCGCACCATCCTTATACCAAAAGACGGTAAGGATAACACAGTGGTCACTAACTATCGCCCCATCACAATTTGTTCTCTGCTGTGCAGAATCTTTTAAGGCATTATGAACAAACGCATTCGATCCGTGGTGAAGTTCAATCCACTTCAGAAAAGGTTTATACCTGAACCTGGCTGTTTCGCTAATATTCAAATTCTTCATGAAGCAGTTAGTGACATGAAAAAAAACTGCTTTCAGATCATCATGCTGCCTGTCTGTCAGATCATCGTAATAATCGTAATTTAGCGTATAATTCACAGGCACCAACTAGTCGACATGCAAGACAGCGACGTATATCACATTCCAGAGAAGGAGCATCACTGTCATCTCACGAATGTAACAAGCACTGCTCTTACTGAACTAAGGACTACACTAGTTGACCCGTACGGAAGCAATACTCACGGAAACCGAGAATGGTTGAGCAAAATGTTCGGCCATGTATGAGTGTAGTCTCCATAAATCAGGTATCGGCAAGTGTGTGCAAACGTGTCGAATGAAGCGTGAACAAAGAGGATGTCGGGTGAAATGTTTGTATAAAGGGTGTTGTGTGAAGTTGTTGGTGTTGGGTGAAGAGTGCACAAAAAGGTCTTAGATGAGTGAACAGAAAGAGGGGGTGGGGTGAAGTGTACACCAAGAGTGTTGGTTGAAGTGTGCACGAAGAGGGTTTCGGGTGCGCACTACGAGTGTGTTGAGTAAAGTGCGCACAACGAGAGTGTTTGTTTAAAGTGCGCACAGCGAGGATGTTGGCCGAAGTGCGCACAGCGAGTGTGTTGGGTGAAGTGCGCACAGCAAGTGTGTTGGGTGAAGTACACACAGCGAAGGTGTTGGGTGAAGTGCGCACAGCGAAGGTGTTGGGTGAAGTGCGCACTGCGAATGTGTTGAGCGTCGTGTGCACGCGAAGGCATTGAGGCTGGGATGGGCGTTTAAGCGCTCGGTGTATCTCACGCAGGGGTACCGGAGCTGGGGCTGGAGTCGTTCGACCCGCTGCAGATGCCCTACGTGAACCTGAGCGAAGCGGTGCCGGGCAACATGACGCTGAGCCTGCTGCTGCGAGGCGTGTACGTGCGCGGCTTCTCCAAGGCCAACATCATCCACGTCAGGTGAGCGCTCTCCCAGGGGGAAGCGATGCGACGCAAAGGTTTACTGCATTGAATTATACTTCTATAAACAACGTTAGATATTCCAATCGATCAAGTTTTTCGTTCAGTTTCTTTCGATTTATTGATATAACTCTCAGACCACCTTGTTTTGTAACTGGACTGTAAACATAGCTTTACTATTCGCACAGTTTGTTGAGATCAGTTTGCCTATTGCAAAAGTGGTGTATGTGTCAACAATATTACTCGTATAAAATCAAATCTATAAATTGTTGGCCGATGTAAATACATTTTCTATTATTCTGGGAAAAGCATTTCGGGTTTTCAAATTTTCTAATCACTCTTGTTGATATCTTCATTTATAATTCAACAATTTTATGTAGGAAAAGAGGGTAAAGATTCAAGAGCTCAATAAAACAAATGCAGGTCATACTTTTCTCTAATACGATACATAGTTTTTAGTTAGTTTGACAATAAATTAATTAAAACTGAATGTAAAATTAAATGTCAACACGTCTATTTGTTTGTACACTATATACTCATTAAGCTTTTGGTTATTATCAAGTATTTGCTTGTTTTTTAATTATATTCTCACACATCAATTGGAACTCACAAGAGGATCAATATCTTATCAATGCCAATTATTAATTATTATTTATGGGGCAAAGTTATTATCTTTGAACAGTGTGAAATGTGAAAGAGGAATAAAAGAGTCGAGAGCTTTTAACAATTTTGTCCACCGCAAGCCTCACTCAGATATATTAGACATATTAGGAAATGCTGAAATTAGGAAATTTCTGACGCGTTTGAAAATACTTCGATCGATTTATTTTCAATATCAATTTGTTTTCATATTGAATATCGTCTTGTTTGATAATACTTTCTTTATGTGAAAATGCATGTGAAAGCCGGGAACGTAAACCTTTTCGCATGATTGAATTACGACTTACAACCAGTTTGGCAAGCAAGATCGTATTAAAACCAGAATAGAAATATTCTGCGTGAAATAGGTTTATGGAAACATTGTCATCGAAGTTTTTGCAACTAGAAAAGTTGTTTGTTAAAATAAAATCTTACAGAGCTGATGAAACCTTGTGGTAGAGAAAGAACAATGCGTCTTGCGCCTTTAAATGCTGTTCGTGTGAATTGTCCGAAACGTTCTTGTGATTTTGAATGTAAAGTTAATGACTTTAAATGTTTCACGCATAAGCGTTGTTTTTTAATGAGGTACACACGTTTAAAAAAATACTGCACACGCGCATAATATGAATTACCTTCATTAAATCCTACAATTATCAAGCATCATTAACCAGAATACTTAAACATGCAGGTGCAGTAACTAAGACAATGACAAAATAATTACTTTTTCATCAGAGCTTTCCGCCGTTTAGAAACTCTAATTATATACGTACTTTGCTTTTTGTGTCGTGATATTATTCTAGATATGTGAAGTTATCACAATTTCAATCCATACTTTTTTTTCTCAGAGGTATCGCTCAAGAGAAATTACTTACTGACATCATTTTCTTTGGTGCTGACAAATATTATTTTATTTATTAACATTACGTTACGATATGATAATATAAAATTGTGTACAAGTTGTATGAACTCGTAGTAAAGAACGATTGACGGATGTATCGTCGGTTACCGTAGACGTGAGTTTTGTTGAGGGAGACTTTATCGAGTTCGCTGGAGAATGGACACCTGAATGTAGGCAGTGGCATTATGGTTTTAAAACCCAATTAAGTAACTACTTCAGAAGATTGAAAGTTTGGCGGAAGTTTGGTAAAGGTACTTTAGCAAATTAATTGGTGTGTTTTTAGTGAGGAACAAGATATCAGCGGAAGTGGAGAAGGTAACATTTGCCGATAGATTTTGTATTTATGATTTCATGAACAATACATTTGTTTGTGTTTGAACGTAATGTATTCTTATGTAAATTACGTCAAGACAGAGGCCAACGGCCAGCGACGTTTGGTGAGTGGCAATACAGCTAGCGCTGAATTTATTGACGTTACAATGATCGCGGCCATTTACATGTGCATACGCTGTTGCGGGAACATTGGATATACAGCATACAACACGAATATTTGATAAATTCTGTATTCTTCTTCCTCTCCGAAAATGTATTTTCCATTAAATGAGCAAATTGCTTTAAAAATTATTTTAAAAAGTACGACCAAAATAGTCATGAAATTATCACATAATGATGAAGTTATCCCAACCAAATATTCTTAACGGGATTTTGCGGAGCACAGCGTGGTATTAGGCCCCGTGATCTCGACGCATGAGCAGGGCACAGTTGCGGCTACTAATTTGCATTTACGCCAGTGTCCCATCCACCGCCACGCTCTTTGCAAAAACGTAGGATTCCTACGCGTGAGAAACGCTGGAGACATTTCACTTGATTGTTCAGAATAATTTTATATTTTCTCATCTTGAATAATGTAATTTCATTTTCACGTAGAATTATTACAAAAAAGGGGTTGCAAATGATATGAATTAAGATAATTATTTTGAACTATTTCTAAAACACATTCAGAATACCTACTGTTCGGAGAGCCATTTGTAAAAACAATACTTAAATAAATTAATTACCTGAAGTTTCTTTATAGTTTTATATGACTGCATTTTCATTCAACATTGGTTATTGCCATGTTTATAAAATTAACATATTCATCCAATCTACAAAAACATAAAGTAAATGACAGTTCACAGTTACGTGTTACTAATAGTAACGCCAGTGGCTTCACCTAAGCCACAGCAAATAAAAAGTTTCGGCATTAGCACGTTGTTGTGACATTCGCACGGCGGTGCCACGATCCACCGCTAGATGCATATCCGTCGTACACGAGCAGACGCTACTACGAGAACCAGCAGCGCCCTGCAGGAGTATAGCTCTACCAGAGTTGAAAAACATTTCACTGCGCATTCCGGAAGGGGCCTCCCCATCCAAAGCTACAAACATCTTCCGCCTGCCTGCGCTCTTTGTCACAACATAGCTCTCTCCACTCTCACTCTCAATCTCACTTTTCTCTCTCTCTTTCTTTCTCTATCTCTCTCTTCTCTCTCTCTTTTCTCCTCTCTCTTTCTCTCTCTCCTTCTCTCTCTTCTCTCTCTTTCTCTCTTCTTCTCTCTCTTTCTCTCGCTCTCTCTCTTTCTTTCTCTCTCTCCTCTCTTTCTTTCTCTCTCTATCTCTCTTTCTTTCTCTCTCTCTCTCTCTCTCTCTCTCTCTCTCTCTCTCTCTCTCTCTCTCTCTCTCTCTCTACCTTTCCCTTGTGGGCCGTGCAAGTTTGGCGATTACAAGCTGATACATGTAAAAAGTCAATTAAAAGGCAGCTTACGTGGTTGCTGCAGTAGACTTTGTCCAAACGATCAACAGGAAGCAAGGCGTGTCTTGAAGAACGGTTTCAGTAATAAGAAAATGCAGTGGATCAACACAGTGATGAATTCGTCATTTCTTTCGACACTCCTGGCAGAGCGAGTCCCTCTTCTCACGAGGAGAGCAGTGACGAGTGACGGTCAGTGCAATCGCTGCTTCTCACTGCGGCCTCTCTTTGTCATCTCCGCGCTTCCTTGTCGCCGAAAGGAGAGCTCTTAGCTGCCGCAGGGTGGGGGAAGCCTCCGCAGACTCCTCTGTCTGCCGCAAGGGGATGGATGTGCATGGGTGCAGGTGATCAGACAGGATGCTTACGTACGTGTCAGAGTCAAACTTTACCGTTTCGGAAATGCTTCCGCCTTTGGCTCGAAAACCAAGGATCATGTCCTTTCGGACATCCCACAAATCTCTCCGATTCTGCATTGCGACTACTGCACCATTCTCAACTTCTACCCGACGCGCTTTATAACTTCTACTAATAGTGCTGCCACCTATCGTCTACGAGGGGTTCTTGCACGTTTACGTCGAACACACGTGGTCACATTAATGTGTCTGGACTGTGTATAAGCAAAGTTATTTGTAAATACTTGTCGAGGTCCTTCTTTTGTTGAGGAGAGTGGTGTTCCAAACGCAAGCGCGCTTGTGGCCTTGTCGCGGAGTTCTGGAGCGGGGTGTTGGTGCGCAGGGCCAACCCAGAGGAGCAGAAGCTGGAGTTGATGTGCCGCGTGCCGTGGCTCACCGCGGATGGCGTCTTTTCGGCAGAGGGCGAAGTGCTCACCTTCCCGCTCAGCGCCCAGGGGGCCTTCAGCGTCAACATGAGTGAGTGCTCACCCCCCCTCACCAAACGAATTAACATACTCAACATTAAGAAGGGGGGTTCTTGGTACTCTAGTCTTCTTTCGAACATGTGTGGTTCCGCACCCTTTCTTTGTGTGAACAGCCGGCAACCTTTCATTCAGTGAACATTCAACCAGTGAAAAATACAAGAAATTACAGAATAACAAAACAATAGCTCCTATAACAGCACATACCTCCTCGGATTATTAGAAACAGTTGGGTAATATTGTAATATTACAAGCGTTAACACATCACTTGTAATATTGCAATATTACAATATTACGTGCAACTTATAATTTTAATTTGCAACTTATAACTTGAAAAGATCCAATTCAACAAATTCAAACGAAGCGCCTGTGGTGTATTTCTGAATTTTTTTCGATAGTCAGAAACATTAGAAATCGCTTACTTCCACAAATGAAACAAACATGAATAAATGTAATTGTTTCATAATACGCAGCACGTTGTACAGAAATACAAGAAAATTTTCACATGAGCTTGCCTCCATTATCAGTGAGCTTCCAGTTTTTCATAATCAGTGATGAAAACTTTTTAAAGTAAAAGAACTAAACGCTCTATTTTTTAGTTCTAAATTATATATGTATATCATTTCATAAGAATATTATCTACGTAATACTATAATAACGACCGCCTACATGAATACGATTCTAAAAATTTCAAAGCACTCCAGTCTACACAAAGACATTGTGCGAACTAACAAAGCGTCAAACAAAGCGCGGGAAAATCAAATATACGATTTCAATACTTTTGCAATTTTCAAAATAAAAAGAGTTTGCTATATGTGAGATCAACACCACTTTATTTCCCGTTCTTTGCTGTATACGTGGAACATTTTCTTTAAAAAATTTGGAACTGTTTTTGAACAAATAATGTTTAATTTTTTTAAATTGTCTATTTTCATGAAAAATAATACGTACAACTCATATTTTTGAAAAATTTAAACATTTGAAAAATTGTTGGAAAGGTGCCCACAACCTTTCCGACAACACATTGTGGAAATTACTATTTCCATAAAAAAAATATGTTAATTTATGTGTTATCCTCATGAGATCGTGACTTTTTTTCTACATTATTCACTTTTCTGTTCACAGGTGAAGTCAGTAGCTCCTGCATTATATACTTTTCTGAACAGTCCGTCAAGAAAGGTGGACCAAAGTACTTCACCGTCGACCATTTGGAATTTGACTTCACTCCTGTGGATGTGTCTTACTATTTTGGTGATACACTGGATGAAGACAATCAGCTAGGTACATATTCTTAAATACATTTTCAATCTGGATAAGGCATATTAAAGACTTTAGTTATCTTGACTGCAGCAAATTTGACGTTATGAAAAGGCGTTCTTGAAAGGCAAAATCTTACCAATCAACTGACAATCATTCTGAAAGAACCATTGATGCTACAGAATGGCACTGACTTTCCCGTAGTAGTTTTGTATTTCCTTTGGTCTCGGCTAGCTATTCGGCTTTGCCACATACTCTTCCCAGCTGTCATCTATCGCCGCATAAGTACAATTTTTGACATTTTCGTAATTTTGGGGTTCCTAATTGTAGAGCGGAAATATATTAAGATAATTAAAGAACAGGAAAACCTCGTCCTAAATGACAATTTGCTTTGAACAATTTGGATCCATTTTTAAAAAACTGGCGTATAAGCGCTATTGTGAATTCGAAATATAAAGCTCTTTTTCACATAACATTTTAGAGTTTTCGAAAATCTTAAGTAATTTTAAGTACTTTACGTTATTTAAGTAGTTATTTTAAGTACTCCCAAATACGATAGGGTTTACAAATTGCTGGAAATATGCTCAATGGAGTGAGAGATCTTCCAAAAAGTTTACATGTCTAATTAAAAAACAAAAAATACACCGAAATGAACTTTACGTCATATTAAAGAGTACAATTAGCACTATTTGTTCGAAACGTTTGAAGCAAAATTTGGAGCAGGTTTTGAGAAAATGGCTTTCGAGCATTTCTGGAAAAGCGGAATTTTCAGCTAGATTTTACTGAAAAACGTTTGGTAGGGATAATGATTTAAACTTTTGATAGGGATAGTGCTAAATTCACTCTATAAGATGACATAAACGCTATATTGCTCTATTCTTTTGTTTTTTCAAAAATTACCAAACTGTAATTAGTTTCAAATGTCTCTCGCGTCATTAATATTTACATTAATAGCAATTTGATCACATTGTTATATTTATGAGCACATGTGTTTTAAATAATGTTAGATAAATTTCCTCGAAAACGCAGCCGGTTTCTGTGTAAAATTCCGCATTTTCGGAAACGCTCTGACGTAATTTTCTCAAAAACCGCTCAAAATTTTTTCTTCAAACTTTTCGAAGGGTTTAGGGTTTACACTCTTTAATATGATGTAAAATTCATTTCGGGGTATATTTTTTTTATTTTTTCAAAAATTAAACTAGTATAACTTTTTTTGAAAGATATTTCACGCCTTCAATTTGCACATTTCCAGCGGTTTGTATACACTATTGCATTTGTGATTGAAAGTGCTTGAAATGACTTTATATAAAGGTTTTCAAAAACTCAGTAGTTTTCTGTGAAACGTTCAAATATTGCATTTGTAGTAGCGCTTAAACGTCGTTTTCTTGAAAATGAATTTGAATTTTTCAAAGAGATTTGCCATTTGCGGCGAGGATTTACTGTTCTTCAATATTCTTAAAATAATATTTCCGTTCTACTATAAAGGAACCAAAAAATTAAGAAAAAAATGTGTATTTTGGACGGCGATAAATGGCAATTGGCAAGAGAATGTGGCAAGTTCGTGTAGCTAGACGAGACCAAGGGAAATATAAAACTAATACAAAAAAGTCTGTGCCATTCTGAAGCCCCACTAGCTTTTATTACGAAGGTAAGTTGAATCAGCCTCCGTTTCCCCAGTATTTATTCATTACAATCCTCCATTAGACTGGAAAAGGAATTAATTGTATAGTGTTCCTACCCTGTTCTTATCCGCCCTGTTCTGAACTGCCGTTCCCCGTCTTTCCAGACCTCACCCTGCTCCATCCCACTTATCCAGCTCCACTCTGCTTAACCACGCTAGTTTTGCATTTTGTTACGGGTTACTGTAAACAGATGCATTGCTGGACAATTCCGCCACACTTTCAGTATCTATTTTGACATTTACCTACTCAAATCGGCTCGTCGACGTTAGCTGAATTGCTTAACAATGCTCCGTTAAGTCATGAAAATTAAGCACCCCGAGACACTACGGATTCCTGGACAGATGAATCCCGGTTATTAACAGCATCGACAGTCGGCAGACAGCAGTCGACAAGATTTTCTCAAAAATGGATGGAAGTTTTGTCTTTAAACTTTCGGTAGGGTTAATAGTAAATGTACTCTATAAAATTACATAAACGCTCTATCCTTTTATTTTTTCAAAAATTACCAAAAAGTTTGGTTTTTTTTGCATGCATCTCATGTCAATATTTTTATTAGTGGCAATTTGTTCACATTGTTGTGTGTGTGAGTACATGAGCTTTAAATAATGTAATATAAAGTTTCTCGAAAACAACCTTTTTCTGAGAAAACTAGCTCAAAACTCCAAATTTTCAGAAACATTTTCTCAAACACAGCTACAAATTGTTTCTTCAAACAAACAAACAAACTTCGAACGGATTGTGATAATTACACTCTTTAATATGACGTAAAGCTAATTTCTGTGTACTCTTTATTTATTTTTTTCAAAAATTACACAAATGTATTATTTTTACATCTCTCACGCCATTGATATGCACATTTACAGGAATTTGTAAACACTATTGTATTTGTGAGTTAAAGTACTTTAAATTACTTCAAATTAATTTTTTCGAAAAGTCAAACATTTTCTGTGAAAAAGAGCATCAAATTTCGAATTTACAGTAGCATTTTAACGCCAGATTTTTAAAAACACCTCCAAATTGTTCAAAAGAAAATTGCCATTAATGACGGGTTTTACTGTTCTTTAATAATCTTACAATAATATTTCCGCTCAACAATTAGGAACCCGAAAAATTAAGAAAATGTCAAAAAATGTACTTAAGGCGGCGATAGAAGGCAGGAGGCAAGAATATGTGGGAAGTTCAAATAGCTAACCGACAACAAAGGAGATAGAAAACTAATACGGGAAAGTCTGTGCCATTCTGTAGCACCACTAGTTTCTTAGGGTATATTTGCGAAATCGCATGCTCACAGTACTTTCTCTCTTGTTTTGAAGGTCATGTGGACAAAATTGCATTAAGATTCGAATAATATTGTAGATGTATATGAAGAAGACAAGTTTTTCTCTTTATCATCTCCTCTCTTCATATTTCCCTGTTCTCGCATTGACCTTTTATTCCTTTGTCTTCTACTAATTTTAGTAAATAGATTTTACAAGTCAAAATAGGTTTGCTTATTTTACACATTTTTCAGATAACCAAATAAAATTTGTTTTAGCTATCTATCTTTGTTTGAAAATGGAATTCCCAAAACAAAGCTCGAACTCTAGACCCATGAACTGTTTTCCGTTGGAATTAGCAGTTTCCTCCTCGCCCTGACCTATATCACGTTCTGTGTCACTCTGCTATTGAAATCACTCATTAATATTACATATCTTTGTTACGGATACTCTAAAAAATTGCACCGAGATCTTTGAAAAACGTATTTTTTTTCTAAACTTGCTTTTTCATTTTTACCATACACCCCTAAAATTGTCTGATGGTCAAAAACGTTCATGTCAATTTTAAGAATAATTTCATTAATAATCTTTATTCAATAAATGAATTTTGTCCATATCTGTTTATAAAAAAGGACACTCCATTTCTAGCTGTATAATTTCCGGTAAAAGCGTTCCTCAAATAAATGTAGATATCCGTTCAAAACCGCCTCCGCTTCCCTTGATTCTTCAGCTTCCGTAAGAATAATTTCACCAAGTTTCATTTTCTAAAATTCTGGCATGACCCCCTTCTTTTTTAGTTCCTAGGTCATGAATATTCCATGTACCAAAATCCATTGTCCATTTCCGTAGACTTAGTCATCAATGTACTACAGAACCGGTTCGAGGCAAATTTAAATCGCTTTGAATGTGGACTTTTTTGAGCGGAGGTTTTACCTCTGTGTCCAATCTTAGTGAGAGATAATATTTTTCAGAGTTATCGATTCTGAGGGTGGCTGGTTTCCCCACTGCTGTAGAGGCCTCTCACTCCTCTTCGTTTTCTCTCGGAGTGCTCCTTCCCTTAGATCATGGTTCCGTTTTTAAAGCTCCTGAAGCTCTTATTTCGTGCCATCCTCTTGATTCCATGTTCTCACCATGAGGCACATCCAGGTCTACCATGAGGTGGTTGCTCTTGGAGGTGATTAGGCCTTCCTACAAAGACCCCATATTTTTGGGGGTGCTTCTCCTGGCTTTTGAATTGTGTATACCTATTAACAACAGTAAATTTCACCAGAGACCCAAGTGGAATTACCGAGACACATTTGGAATCACTTACTCTTTAAGCGAGAGAAAATAATAAAATAAAAATAAAGAATCTACGTTATCCCCAACAAACATAACCTTTCAGTGAAAACAGCATCGAAATGGGTTTAGCCATTCCAGAGATTACCCTGGACAGAGAAATCGTAAAAGGAATTGATTTTTTTATATCATATGATATATTGTCATAATCATATGAGATTATAAAAAAGACCTCTAATTTGAAATCCTAGATAGCGTTTCAATTTTATTTATAAAGATTATTTTTCAGATAAAAATCAAGCAACGGTCTTTCCGTTGTGTCGCAATTGTACTTGTATTGGTATATTTTTGACTGCCTACCTGAGTTTTAGTGCCAATATCCTGTATTTACTAATGCGACGTTCTGGGTTGGTTGCAGGCGAGGCAATGAACATGTTTCTCAACTCGAATGCTCACGAGGTGTTCGGAGACGTGAAGGGGCGAGTCACAAAGCTACTGAGCCACACGCTTCACGGTATCCTCAACACTGTCATGGAGGCTTTCCCCGCAGACAGCCTCCTACTTCCTGATTGAAGTGGATCCGCACAACATTTCTACCCCCATGGGACTGTGTTATCTCATGAAGCCGCCTCCCCCCTCTTAGGGGGACACCATACTCTCTCCTGCCCTCAGCTCCAAAAGACTTATGGACATTTTGCAAAATACATAATGTTACGAGCGATGATGCTAAATCCTTTGAATGCCATTATAATATATTGTGATAACAATGGATTTGAATCATAGTCCCTCAAGTCTATTATATAAATTTTTTGGTGCCAGCCC